TCATTCTAGAATGAAAGAGGCATAATTTATATTTATTTCCTAATTTTTTATGATGGTTATGAGATTGATCAAATCGGCCAAACCCATACAGAGATTCCTACTGAAAATAACAGATAAAATATAAAGTTTTTTTCTTAAGAAACGTTTGATAACTATCTGGACATTATAAATGTGAAATATGAAAATTACTTTGCATGATGGATAGGCAACATGCGAAAAGAAAAAAAGGCATGAGAAAAACATTGCTTTACAAACCTTAAGACTTTATATATGAATTTGATATTTTGAGTATGAAAGCGTTGTAATGTTTACCGATGATCTGCTAGATTTCGTTAACATACACTTACTAATTTAAGAGTTATAGCATGAAAACTATAACAAGCACAAAATGGTTATAAGGTCAGTCCCAGGAACCAAGCCTGTGCTGAAAGAGTTAATAGTTCTCAAAATATATTTTGTTTGGTAATTCCTAAGCAATTTTATTTGTCTCTGTAAAGAAGACAAAAGCCATATTTATATTTTGAGCTGACCTTAAAAAAATTATTTGAACCTAGGCAAAAAATTATACAATCTTAATGATAATCCAGAGTTATTTAGGTAATTGTTGAAAAAGATAAAAATGCTAAAATCTCAAAGTTTGATCCTGTTTTAGCTTCGTATTGAACTGTCACCTGTAAAACATTCCTTCCACAAACTCTTTCAGTACTGTACTTGGTACTCAAAGATATAAGGTCAGATCATTTTGGGTCTGTGAGTATACCATAAGTCAAATCCTTTTTATCTAGTCTGAAAAGAGTAGTCCAAGATTTGGTGATGGGTGTTTTTGACTAGCTTCCTTCCTTCTAGTCTATCAGTTTATAAATCAGGGATGATCATTGTATGGATAGCCTTTTGTGTAGCATTGTGCAAAAAATCTGAAACAACAAACAGACATAAGATTAAATGGAAGGAGCTGACCTTCAAAGCAACTAACTGTTCTCATAATCAGGAATACAGGAGCAGTAGGGGGCTAAAGTTATATGCCAGTATTCCATATTATTACTTATTACATACTTTCTGAAACACTACCCAGTGGTATCTTATATATTATTGATAGGTTTCATTAGCATTGTTAAATATCTTGGTGGTAATCCAACAGATTAACTCAGAAATTTCCACAATACATATCACCAAAACCCATGGGTGATCACAATCTAACATGGTAAACTACCTTAGCTTCACATGTCACCTATAGTTAGAACAATATCTGTAACATCCACTCAATTCCAGACAACTACAAGCAATCACTAGCATAAACAACCAGAAAAAACATTTTGTGAATTTAGGAAAAATAGGTTGAATATATCAGATATTTATTCTACTAATTATGAAAGGATGAAATTAGTAATTATCAATATTTATAAACACTGCAGTCTGATTATCACATCTATGCTTTATAAAAAGTAAAAGCAAATTTCGTCTAAAATATGTTATTTGAAATAGACATGTTCAACAAACTATATTCACGAGATAAGCAAGAAGAGTAGATATTATAGTGAAAACAGTTCAAACTACTTCAGATACTACAGTTAAAGGTTATATTGTGTAATATTACATTGAAAACAGTTCAAACTACTTCAGATACTACAGTTAAAGGTCATATTGTGTAATATTACATTGAAAACAGTAAAACTACTTAAGATACTACAGTTAAAGATCATATTGTGTAATATTACATTGAAAACAGTAAAACTACTTAAGATACTACAGGTAAAGGTCATATTGTGTAATATTACATTGAAAACAGTTCAAACTACTTCAGATACTACAGTTAAAGATCATATTGTGTAATATTACATTGAAAACAGTTCAAACTACTTCAGATACTACAGTTAAAGGTCATATTGTGTAATATCTGATGACTATACAATTTACTCATACTTTTTGTTATTCAAACATGTAATAAATATGAACCGTTGTGCATTAATTTACTAATTCCTGTGTTTTGTGAAAAGAAATTGGGAAAAACATATTCACATGAAATCTACTAAGTATTCGCACAACCAACATACTTGTCTTTTTATGCACACAGAAATGAATTTAAGAGTCAATTATTGATGTTTTGTCAGCAAATAACCTTATAAGACTACTGTAACTAAACAATTGTAATGAAGCTGCTAATAAATAGAACACAATTTTCATTGGGTAATATCGACCACTATTGTTTGTTTTAAAAACATTACAGCTGTCGAATAATCATTCTCTAATTGGCAGAGAACAAATAACTTCAGTACCTGACTAGTGTCTTAGTTGGACATTTTGACCTATGTCCACTAAGCCTTGCCCATATTTACTGCTTAACAGCCAATAGAAGTAATCAAATTCTTTCACCATAGCTATAAGAATAGTCATATTGATGCAGTAGCCGCATCTGGTGATCTTAGTCATTAATTAACTGCCTCAAATCCTAACCTTAACACGTTCACGATATCGTATGCCACCAGTGGTACACAGCACCCATAAGATATAACTGTACTTCATATCTCCAAAGTCCTATGTAAAGCATTTATTTTATACGGATGGCTATAATAAAGCCACTCCTTCCATCGTGTACCACTGGTGGAGCACGAATGCTATGTTGAAAGGACAACTAAATAAAACAAATTTTATTTGAAAATTACATCTAGAGATTGGCATTAAAGTTTTCATTGTGAGTAATGGAAGCTAAAAAGCACTAACTGAGACTTCTTTCATAAATAAGAAAACTGTTATGAAGACTGAAATATAATAAGGAAAGAACTATTATCATCCACAGTACGGATTATTTTATCTGATGTCCCTTTTATACGCACATAAAAATTGTGAAATATTCATAATTCATTTAAAAAATGGCAAGATTAGGCTGAAAAAAAGAAAGAAAAATATTATATATTATGATCATTTGATTATTATTACTTAAATCATAGTGTGCACCACCGGTGCCACATGACACCCAAAGCTTAAATGGTTAAAGACATGACTTTATGTACCACCGATGGTGCACTCAAGAGAAAGTTCCCAATGCAGTCATTCTGTCATGAAACATAACATAAGGCCATAAAATTAGCTGTATCTAAGGCAGAGTTTTCAATGAGGCCTTATGTTCCTATTGCATAATTAGAGAAATCACTTATGCCGCAAACATGTTAAATGTATTTTTAAAAGATTTATTTATCCCTATCTTACAGCTTGCACCAACTGATTATGACATCACTCTCTTAGGAGTGGTAAGAAGCTTCGTAATTGGCCAAAATTGTAGATATTTATATACATAGACAATTATTTCCGCCAGTGAAGATTCCAAGAAACATATGCATGGCCATTAGTAACATAAAGATAACTTTTCATAATTACAATGAGTCGAATGGGGAAGTGGAAATATGCTAATACAGCATTCAAGCAGTGAAATAGTTTTGGGAACAGGCACAAAAATATTGATAGTGCATGGTACACACAGTTATTTAAAGTTGGTAATGTACTTGTGCTATAGAAACTATGTCTCTGGTGTAGCTGAATGAAGTAAATTTTCAGACATTCTGTTTTTATATATATGTATGTGTGTGTATATGCATGCATGTGTATGGGCTATAGCTGTGTTATTAAGAATAATGCATTTACACTTTTTTTCAATCTGAAAAATATAAGTTTGAGAATTAACACTTTAATACATTTTCAAATTATATAAAAGAATGATTTTAATTAAGTTTCATTTTCCTTTTATTTCAGGATGTTATAGATGATATTGATGGAGCTCAGAAATTAGGGTTAACGGGGATGCTGGTAAAAACAGGTATTGTGAAAAGAATATTTTTTATTTTCCTTGTTTCAGGTATTATTAATAAGTTAAATTCAAATAACTTGATGAAGATTTTATGTGATATTGTCACTGAGTTCAAAAAGTAGATAGAAAATTATTATTTTTCATGTAGGTGTTCAAATTAGAGATGAGTAAAAGGTGCAAGTGTTAACAATCATGGAAATGATTTAAATAATCATAATAATAACCAGAAAAGGACAATCAGTTAATAACCTTGACATGGACATTTTAACTTTTACCAGTCATCTAGCGGTTACCAGTTTCTGGAACATGCATTCATATACACCAAAAGCTTGTGAATAATTACCAGGTCTTTACAAAGTATATATATACCTGTCATATACACTACTAGTCAGTCTAATATTAACATTTTCTAGACATAACACAAACACACACAATCTTAAACAATTTAACAGTCATATGCTAATATTTCCAAATTGTTTGATTGTATAACATACTTATAAAACAAATGCCAACAGTTATTAGTTATGCTACACACATTTTTAATATGTCTTGGTATAAAGTGTTAGTATTAATTAAACTCCAAGGAACCTCACTATGACTGAGTAGTTTCATCTCTGAAATACATGTGTTTGGTGTTACGACTGTTTGAAAGTTAATGAAGTAAACCATGATAAAAGAGTGTGTGGTTATGAATTTCATACAATCATTTAGTTTCAGTACTAGTTATTACACAACCTAATTTGATTCTTAAAAAATTAACAGACTTATATGATTAAAATCACCTTGATTTGCAAATATCTCAAGTTTTTATTATTCAGTGTACTTGTTTTTATCTTACTCATTTTTTTAAGAATGTGTTATCACAATATTTCTCGAGAGATTACTAATAGCTGTCCCACAAGAAGAGTAATGTATGATATGATCCCTCTTAAAATAGGGACAATAAATGGGTTTATGACTGCTAGTAAATCTATAATTCATAAAAACAAGTATATATCTGTTCATTGACTAATTTCTAACAGTAGCTGTATGTGGCACGTGTTAGTATTTTGTAAGTGTTATATTTCAGTGAACTACATTCATCATTTTTAAATAATAGGAATATACAGAGAAGGAGATGAAGTGAAGATTTTTCCTCCTCCAAATTATGTCTTTGAAAGTTTTCCAGCAGCAGTGGATTACATAATACAGCATTTGGTTTAAAACAAAGTGTTTTATTGTATCGTACTTATTTATTTGTTTTGTTTTTTGTTAAACCAAAAATCTCCCATAAAAGTAGTATTTAAAGAAATATATATAAAAATCATAGAGCTTTTGACAGAAGTACCTGTCTCCTTAAGGATAAAGGAATAAAAATAAAGTATTTCTGTTTTAATTAATAAATATATAATTTTACAATGCATGCATTGTGATTAAAAAAAGAAAAATGTTACTCATACAAAACGTTGGAATCAAGTATTAGTTGAAATAATTTAATTTTCCTATTTTATGTTTAGTGCAGTAATTTTGATATAACTTTTTTTTCACCCAGATTTTGATTTTAGCAACTAGTTAGGAATTTGACATTATGAAAGTATAAACTGGTTATTACCTAATCAGAACATTATTTCTTATGCTTAAGGTAAGCAAAGAGTTTTCATACAAGTGAAAAAAAATCTGTTGTACAATTATGTACTAGCTTATTAGGACAGAAGATTGAGATATGATTTCAAGTGTTATTTTAATAAATATTATAGACTGTGGTTAAGTTTCATAGTGTTTTCAGTTAGTTTTCCATTATATAATTTAATTTGTTAGTGGCTTATTTGTCACGGCTAATTTCATCATACATTCTGTTTCAGTGACATAATTATACTACAAGAAAGCATGCAAAGTTGTATTCTTTAAAAAGGTTTAGTAAAAGTAGGCCAAATTTTCGATAGTCTACTAAGCATGAAAAGTAATATGACTTAATGCTATGTAAGTGAACAGGAAATTAGGGTTAATGTTTTTTAAGCAATGAACATAACATAACAGAAGATGCTATGACAGTACTTTCTAAAAAGGTGTCAAGCATTTTAAGGAAATTTCATAATTATATAATGAAACCTGATTTCTTTTTGCAGGAGAAGAAAGCTTCATATAAATTGAAAAGTAACAGTGACATTATAGTTAAAGAATTCAATAAAAGTAAAGGAAAAATCATAAATAATATTCAATGTTAAACTGGTACACAGTTAAAAACATTTTATTTAGGCCTATCTAAATAAACTGTGTACCAGTTTAACGTTGAATATTATTTATGATTTTAACTTTATACACAAGTGCCAAAATACTATAATTAAAAGTAAAGCATTTGTAGTTTTAGTAAAAGATAGTTATGAACAAAAGATTTATGAAGATAACTATTTAAAAGTGATGGAGATCCTACTAAAACACTTGAAATAAAAGTAGAATTCTTTTGAATGAATTGAAGAAAGATATTTTTATTTCTCCACAACTAGTGAACAGTTTAAAACCATGTAATTGTCGAGTCCATGAATTTTACAGCCATCCTAAAGACCATAAATTTTATTTACTTCTTAGACTTAGGGCATTTGCTTGCTGGTCTCTGTGGGAAAGTATATCATGGTTCTAGGATAGGCTTCTGGACCTATTATTGGACTTAATCTTAGCTTATATCAATAGCACACAACATTTTATTAAACAGTTACGTGATCACTTGCACCTCCTTAACTGTAATTATATTCTGTTTAGTATGGATGTTGTTCAATTATATTCCAGTATCTCGATTAAAAAAGGTGTAGATCGTGTTATGACCATGATAATAGAAGAAAATAGAGATGACTTGGAACTTTTGAATATTTTAACTGATTTGGATAGAACAAGTTCTGATATTTGTATTAAGTAATAGGTATATAAGATTTGATGGGGAATTGTATAAACAAATTAAAAGAAGAGCTATGGGAAATAGAGTAGCAGTAGTCTGCTGTAATATTTATGCATATACTTAAACTAAAAGTACTTAATTATTGGAAAACATGAAGGAATGTATGGCCATTAATTTGTTACAGATTTATAGGTGATATATTTGGAGTGGAGGACAAACATGTAGTGTCACTTATTAGTTTTCATGAGCTTTTGAATACAGTCCATCTGTTCTTAAAATTTATACTTACTTTGCTCTACAAGGTAAAAATTTTTGCCATTTGTAGATACCATTGTTCATGTTAAAGATGGAGAAATCATTACAGGTGTTTTGAGCAAGCCCTTTGTTTGCATTTCCACATCATCTCCGGCAGTAAAAGGATGTGTAAATATTGGTTACCTTCATAGAATTGATGAAGTTTTTATAAAGAAGAAATATGGGAGAAAGCTTGGAAAATCTGATGACTCTCATGAAAAAATGCTTACCCGCAAGACTATATATAAAAAAAATAAAATAAAGAATTTTGATCAGCAAAAACAAAACAGACAAGTTACTGTGAACCATGGAAGTAAGAAACTCATGTTTAATATTATATAAGTGATCATTTGATGTTAAATAAAATAGGAAAGCTAAGTCTAATTTTTACAAGTTTATGTAAACGAGTAGAAAATTTGGATAAAATGTTATTCAGTCTAATACGCTGTTTACAGTAAGACAAATTGATCAAATATAAGATGTAAGTAAAGAGTCATTTACACACTGATATTACCCATAAGTCATTTACATTGGCCTTATAGTCACCCATGATCATGAATAACTTACAATGGGCTATAGTAAGCCTTGCGTTACACTGTCTTGTAACTATTCAAGACTCGCTTGCAATGTTCTAAAATAACACTGTCATGTAGTAATACTAGACTTGCAATGTTCTAGAATAACACTCGTGTAGTGACACTAGACTCGCAATGTCCTAGAATAACACTCATGTAGTGACACTAGACTTGCAATGTCTTAGAATGAGTGACCTACACTGTCTCATAATTACACTGGACTTGCAATGTTTCTAGAATAACCCATACGAGTCGCACTGTTATGTATACTAACTCATGAATGACTTCTACTGGTCTGTAGTAAACCATGTGTGACTTGCACTGATAATACTTCTTAGAACTAGAAGTATAAAAGGGACAGACTTCTCTGGTGTGAGCAAACATTGTCCTATAATGTTGTATCTTACTTGAAAATCTAACTGTGAAAGTATAAACAATCTATAAATTGGATGAAAGAAGAAAAAGAAACGACCGTCAAGAACATTTTGAGTGTAAACAATCTCACTAAAAAAAATGTTTTATTTGAAGTTGTTGCTTTAATAAAACAGTTCTGAAAAAGGTGAATATCACTGATGACGAAGATTCATTAGGTGATAATGGTTCTAAAAAATATGTAATTCTGACGAAGACTCTCAAAGTAACAAATGTACTCTTTCAAAGACAATCCCTAGTTTAAAATATATCAAATAGGAACAAAGAAATTAATAAGTTAATATAATGAGATTTGTTTTATGGACTTTTGCGCAAAGCTACACGAGGGCTATCTGCGCTAGCCGTCCCTAATTTAGCAGTGCAAGACTAGAGGGAAGGCAGCTAGTCATCATCGCCAGTCTCAATTTGACTACATGTTTCGACGCTTCAGCCCGCCATCTTCAGGAGGTGTGATTCTCAAGATCTCGTATATTTTTATGCTTCCATAGAAGTATTTTTATGATGTTTGAATCTTCAAAGTTTTACAGTTTTTCAAATTCTCAGCGGCAAGGTTGAAGACTTATAACACTAATAACTGAGTTTCGATGGGCAGATAGTCCATTATGTAGGTTTGTATTTAACAACAAACGAAAAAGTTTTACATTCGAATATAATAAAAAATGGCAATATAACACTTTTTTTTCAATATAACGGCTCACTAGAATAATTTATACGTTACTAAAATACAATAAATAAATTCGATAACAAATTATGAAAAGCTTAGTTTTGTTTTCTACAAATAAATTTCCCGCGCAAAAGTATATCAAATATATATAAATAGATAAGTATATACATACAAATAAATATACGTCTTTTTTTACACCTTTTATACGAGACATTAGTTTAAAAAGTCGTAAATAAAAGCCATTGGTAACATTTCATTCATAGTTTTACGAATTGTTTTAAAAGCTGGGGCAATATAAATGGGTTTAGGATATTATACTGTAAAACTGTGAACTTACCATAATAGAAAATATGCAATAATGATAGCATTCACTATTCTTGTATAAAAATCTATGTGAATTGTAAATGCATTTTAGATTATTAGAAATTTCAATAGTTCCGATACCCATACTTTTTTAAAATCTATATCCTTACTTCGGAAGTATATTAAATGTTATAACTTTTTCTTCTTTGGGCCTGGTGATTAAGGCGCTCGACTCGTAAATTGCGGATCTCGGATTCGAATCCCGTCACACTAAACTTGTCCTTTTAGCCGTGGGTGCGTTATAAAGTTATGGTCAATCACACTATTCGTTGGTAAAGGAGTAGCCCAAGAATTGGCGGTGGACGATGTTGACTAGCTGCCTTTCCTCTAGAGTCTAGTCTATCACTGCTAAATTAGGGACAGCTAGTGCAGGTAGCCCTCGTGTAGCTTTGCGTGAAATAAAATAATAAAAAAAACTTTCTTTTTTGTACATAAAAGGAGTTGTTCTAGCGCTATCTACCGTACATTTAATATTTGAGTAAGCATGGCAGCACGGAGTGGTCTGCGCGCTGTTCTGATTGACTTGAGTGGAACTCTTCATATAGAAAATACCGCAATATGTGGTGCTGCTGATGCTTTAAATCGGTAATTTAAACCATTAAAGTTTTAGCAGTTGTTTTAAGAAAGTGTTTTAGCAGCTTTTCAACTTAATTACTATTCTGCCCCTGACTATTAATAGTATCAATATCATATTTTTAAACTTAAAATGTTACTGACTTGTGTAGTTGTTTGTTATTAATATTAACTTCAACAATTAAGCACAAAGCTACACACAGGGCTATCTGTGCTATGCCCAACACGGGTATCGAACCCCGGTGTCTAGCAGTATATGTCTGCAAACATACCGCTGAGCCAATGGGGATTCAATATTACTGAGACTGAGAATCAGAGATAATAACTAAAATATTGCTCATACAATACCCGACTTGTTTTGGGATGAGCTGGTTATTAACATTTAATCTAAAGACTGATTTAGATTCAAATTGGGTATTCAAGTTGTATTTATATACATGCATCAATGTGTAAAAAATAAACACAAAAGTATTCTGTAGAAAAAATGGAAGTAAGCTCTTTTTGTATCTAGTAATAACAATCTATGATTCCTAACCTTTTGAATTGCAAAGTTTTACTTGTAAATAATTAATTAAACCTTATAATATTTCAAATACTGATGGTTTGGTATCTTAAGACCCAGTAATGACAATTACTACAATGCTATGCTTATTGTCTGACCATTAAAGTTTTTTTTTAAAGAAGTATAACTGATATACTTATTGAAATTTTATTGTTCATTGGATAAGGTTTTAGGCAATAATTTCTGAAAAAAGCAAGGTGAGTAGTATAGTAAAAAAAGTTATTTTTAATTAAAAATTTTGGCTCCATAAATTAAGATTTTTTCTTTTATCTAATAAAAGGTTGAAGAAAACCTATTTGAAGATTAGATTTGTAACAAATACTACCAAAGAATCCAAACGTATTTTGTGGGAGCGTTTAACAAACCTGGGGTTTTCCATAGAGCAGAATGAAATCTTTACTTCTCTGACAGCAGCTCATGAGTTGGTATGTAGGAAAAATCTTCGACCTCAGTTGTTGTTAGAAGATGAAGCCTTAGAAGATTTTCAAGGTTAGATAATAAATCCACATAGTTGCATTAGAATGTTTTCAAACTCTGATTGTACTTTGTTGTTATGCTTCTATCTCAGATTTTATTTTCAGCTCTGTTAAATTTTGCATTATAGCAGTTTTGTTTCCATTTCATCATTATGATTAGACTAATCTTTCCCAAGACAAAAATTGTCATGATATCTGATTAGCCAAGAAGAGGGCCCTTTAAGATGGTACATTAATTTATGTGTACGAACATACCTTCTGTTGTGAATTATAATTTATTATGTCTGCTTTGATACTTATATTTTATATTATCTTAATATTAGTAATATTTTAAAACTAGTAGCTGCAACCTGTCAGAGTATGTATTTTGGTCATTGATAAAAGGACACACCAAATAAAGAAATGCTAAAGTCTGTAAAGCAAATGTAATAAAGTAGTCAGTTATTACTAATAAATTGTTAGTCAAATTTAAAAAAAGCAGAATAAAATGCTTTTCAAAAATATACCATAAAAAACAAAAGTTACCTTACCATTTTAAAAATTTGTATACCTAGAATGCAAAGTTAACATAAATAACAAAAATGTAAAACAAATTAATACATTTCCTGTTCTTTCATTTGGTTGTAAACAGCAAAAGTATTTTTTATGCAGAATTATTTTCTTTTCTTGATAGGTACTAATACGGAAAATCCTAATGCAGTTGTTGTGGGATTGGCACCTAGCAAATTTAATTTTCACACACTTAATGATGCTTTCAGGTAACTAGGATTTTTTGCTTGTTTATGTGTATGAAAGTGCTGGAAAATTTAGAAAATTTGTTCAAACTAAGTTACAAGTGGAATAGTAGAGTTCTGTATTAAGGATTTTAAGTAATTTTAGGCCAAGTAAAAAATACTTTAGTGTCCCTGCCCACATCCTTTTTTGCAGCCACCTCTCACCATTTTTTAAGATTTTTTTTCCTTTTTTGAATTATCGTTTTTCAATCATACAAAGAAATAAAGAAGACTTCTGAATAAAAAATGAGATGAACACAGTTGATTCACTTTTCCCTTTTATTTTATTTATCATAAATTCTGATCGTTTTCATGAAAAAATGAAACAAAGAAGACTTCTGTGTGACATTGTCCCTTTGAAAACAAGCAACAATTGTGAAAAAAAAGGACAAACTTTCTTTCAAAAAGGTCATTAAAAAAAGGACCTACTCCTTTCTCTTTTTCAAAAACTCTAGATGCTAAACATGTTTTTTTTTACTTGGCCTTATATGGTTCCTTTGATGAAATTAAAAAACTGATTTTAGTTGCAAGAAAAATAACTACAATGGTTTGAAACAAAATGACACAAATTCAGACATATTACAAAGTTTATGTCAGTTTAAATTTTTCAAATTTTAAATCTGGTAACTAGGATGTATATTTATCATAAAGACTGCTTAAAATGATTCATAATTGTTTTTAGATACATCCACAGTGTCTTTAAAATGTTGCAATATCTTGTCACATAGCTGTTGATGTTTCTTAAATATATAGTTAGCTTCAATTATCACATATTTATCTTCTTTTTGCTAACATAAAGATGTTGTAATGTCAAAATTAAACTTGTAGTTTTGATCAGTTTACCTTCTAATAGTTTTATTAGATTCTCATGTTTGCTGCAGTAGCACTAGTGTTAGAAATAAGAAAAAAATATTCTAGAACATTTTCAAATGTATACCATGGTTTTAAAATTGCCATGACCATAACATATGAGCCAGACAAGAATTTTATACAAGAAACTGTAAAATGTTTGAAGAAAATGCTTAAATAAGTATCTGCTTGTGGTTGAAAACAAGATTTATTTTAGTTGAAAATAAATATCCTTAACTTTATTTGAATTAAAAGTGTTGTATCTGGGTTAAATTCTTAATTTATGATTAACCAACTTTCCTTTATACATACTTGTTTATTCCAAATGATTAATAGATAATTTCTATTAGTGAAATGAAAACAAACTTACATTCTGTATATTTCAGAGTGAGGATGTGCTAGATCATTATCATATTTTTTCTTTTTCCATTTTTTTTACATTATTTCAGACTGGTTCTTAGTGGTGCTTCTTTGATTGCTATCCATAAAGGTCGATACTACAAAAGGCAAGATGGACTTGCTCTTGGACCAGGACCTTTTGTGGCTGGACTTGAATATGCCACAGATAGAAAAGCTGAAGTTGTTGGAAAACCTGAAGCTTCATTTTTCTTAGAGGGACTTAGACCTTTTGAATGTAAACCAAGTGAAGCTATCATGATTGGAGATGTGAGTTTGTTGATTGTTTTTATTTTCATAATTTTCATCATAGACATTAAGTTTAGTGTCATTGTCATAGATATATTTCACACAAAATTGAATTGGTTGTAAATTCAGTAAATGAATATTTTTAGTTTCTATATTTTCTGATATCCTGTAGCAACAAAGTGAAATGGGTAACGCTGAGTAATTCTCCTCGAGCAAATGTATTATAACTCTGAAAAAAATACGATATTTAAATTTTTCAAATTTATCTCATATTTTAGAATGTGATTTCTAAATTATTATTTTTTTCTCTCATTTTATCATACAAACAAGTTATAATTTCCCATGTGTGATTTAAAGTGTTTTTAATCCATTATTTCTATGCATTATCACTATTATGTATCTGATTTGTTTAATCACTGAAGAGAAGTCTTTCTATTTCAAGAAGTATATGTATAGGTACCGACTGCTCCATCTGTTGAGTGAACTTGATGGTTAACTCACTTCTCAAAAGTAAATTATGCTCTCTATTGTCGGTTGAAAGTAATACTGCAGAATTTTGGTGTTCAAACAGTTATGGAAGCACCTAAGTGTTCGGGCTTTATACTTTTATATGTAATTTTTTTTCAAGTGGTTATGGTGAAATAATATCTGTGTCAGAACAATATGCTTTTTTTTTCACTTTTTAAGAGCTTTGTTTGACTTGAATTTAATTCAGGATGTACATTGTTTATTCACTAACTCTCTTTTGTGAGGAGCATTTCTATATTAGCCATTATTACATCTAATGACTTCAACATCTTGGAAGGTGCGGCTAATAAAGAAATGCTCTGCACAAAAGAGAGTTTGTGAATACACAAGGTGTGTCCTGAATTAAATGTAAATCAAACAGCATAATCTTTGTTTGTAAAATTATGAATTTATCATTCCCTGATGACAGTTAAGTAAAACCAAAAATTTGCATATGCAGTATTTCTAAGAACTTTTAGAAAGAGGGATGAACACTATAAATTATGAATAACAGATGATTTTGTTAAATACTGCTATACAGGAAAGAAATCTTTTAAATAGTTATCTGAATAAATTATTAATGCACAGTTTGGTTATTTGGCCAATGGTCATGATAATATTTTAATTCTTTTTAAAGGATGTTAGAGATGATATTGATGGAGCCCAGAAGGCAGGGCTAGTAGGCATGCTGGTCAAGACTGGTAAGTATAAAAGATGGCGTACATTTAGTCCTTTTGTATACAAGTATTTAATTGCTTGTTCACTTAATATATTAAAAATATTTTTTGTTTTAAAAATTTATTCAATCTACTTTCAACAACTTTGAATAATAAAATTGTATATAATGTCTGTGAATCACCTTTTTCTTTTAAATATTACAGAGACAGGGTTGTGTATACCTTTAACAAATATCATAAAATTTTATTAAAATCAGTTAAGTTTGTATCAGCATGGTTCTTAATTAGTTTTATTTAGCTATCTTTCAACATGTATTCTGAATTCTGTTTAGCCCTATATGCTTAACTCGGGTATTAAGGAGTAAAGATTATTTTGTATTACAAGTTGTAGCTTTTACTGTGTTAATGAAAATTTTTTTAATGGGTATGACATTTTAATCACCCGTGTGATCATTCTCAAGTACACGGTTTAAAAGTAAATAAGATTTTTGTACTTAAGTTAGAGAATTGATATTGGTTGCTTGTGCATGTACATATCAGTTCTCATGAATTAACAAAATATTTTTTTTATAGCAGAACAGAAAAATCAAAAAATAGATAAATATGAATATGTGGAATGTGTTGTATGAACGATTAGGAATGTCTGGGGAAATAATGATCAAAAACGAATGATTGCACCAATGATTGAAATGTCTTACCTATTTAAAAAGAATATTTTTCCTTACTGTAAAAAGTTGTAACTTGGAATAAAAAAATGCTTATAATAAATAAGTAAACTCATAAAAAAACTATTAAGATATTATTTTTGTTTATTTTAATTTAACTGTGTAGTGTTTTTTTTTGGTGATCTGTTAACATAAGAATTGAGGGTTTTATAATTATTTTGTTTTTTCTTGTGTTAACAGGAAAGTATAGAGAAGGCGACGAACTTAAGATTTCTCCACGTCCAAGTTACGTGTTTGAAAATTTTCCAGCTGCGGTAGACTTTATAATAAAGCACTTGACTTAACAAACTTTAATTTATTATTTTTTTGACTTGTTATTTTAATCTTATGAACCAGTTTAACTATTGAGATCTGTGTTTTGCCTTATGTTGTAAGTTTTTTTGCTGTCTTTCAATCATTTAATATTGAAAGATGTACATAGAAAAGTATCACAATATCTGAGCTGTCAAGGAAAAAATTTTAAAAGGTAAACGAAATGTAGTTTGATAACTTGTTTTGTAACATATTATTTTTCAGTACAAAAGGGCATTATTTACTTCTACCCCCATTAAAACATTTCTTAATGTACTCTGTTCATGTTGTAATGAATAGAAGGTCATATTTGGCATAAGAAGTTAAAATCAAAGTGTTGTTTTTCGTTTTCTTGTAAAAGGTATTAGTAGACATACTGATATACAATTGCCCTATTGTAAAATCTGTTTAGGCAAGACAATATTATGCTTATCAACAAACTAGCCAGTATGTTATTATTAAAATTGACAGTAGATGAAATATTTAGTATTATGTTACCACTTAATACATTCATAATTACAAACTTTAAGATTGTATCTTTAATGTTTGTGGTACATAAATTAATTCTGTTAATCAACATTAATTTTAAACTCAGAATTGAGACACTGAGAAAGCAGTTGAAAGCATTTTCTTCAAAATTATTTTGCTTTATATTTTAATAAAATGCAATCTAAATTATAACTTTATTTAAGAATGAGAGTCATAAGTTATGCAAATAATATTAATGAATTTAGTTCACAGCTAAAGAAAAAAGGATTTGAATCTAAGTTTCAAATGGACAGCAACTGCCTGTTGTAGAAACCTACAAATGTAGAGGACGAT